GAGGGTTGGATTAAATATCCATCAATTCTCAACACCAACATTTAGCCATTTGCCTTGCCTGTCTGAATCCCTAACCTCTGCTCTCTGGACAATTTGTTTTAGCCTTGGCTATGATCACTCTTAGTGGTGGACTGGGTGTCTCCGGCAACATCTCCATCAATGCCATGGCTATTGGCTTTATTGACTCCTCTTTCCTATTTTGCTGATTCAGCAAATTCTCCTCTATTTGCAACTAAGCATTTCCTTCTTGTCAGATGAAAAGCTTCTGGCCTCTAGAAGTAAGGGTTATTAACCCCTTCCAGGGGAAGGACTTTCCACACTCTACCTCTGCTTGCCCAGGCTGTCAAGAATAGCTCTGCTGGGACACACGTTAGCATGTTATTATGCTGATTGTGAATGCCTAAGCTCCATCTTCACTGTGAACACTCCATAACAGACGTAGTCCATCTCTCTTGTTAGGACTGCATCCCAGCACCTAATGCACTGTCTCACCCATGGAAGCATTTGGGAAATAAGTGCTAAAGAGTGAAGTGACATGACTCACAAGTGGGATAGTCAGTTTCTTATTTGTCTATTCTCCACACTAACCTAAGTTTTTTCTTTCTTTCTGTGTTCGTTCCTTACTGCAGGGAGTTTTTATCAGTCACCTTGGATCACAATAAATGGACTAGTAACTGATGTAGGGCGGGTAACTGGCTTACGGAATTAATGGACAGAGGAAAGGAAGGAAGGAAGGAAGGAAGGAAGGAAGGAAGGAAGGAAGGAAGGAAGGAAGGAAGGAAGGAAGGCCGGGCTAAGGAACATATAAATATAATATGCATGAATTCAAGCTGATTTTAGAATAATGATGGAAAAAGCCTCCGCTCATGTCAAGTGTTTGCCAGCAGAGCAGTTATTGTGAACATGAGCTGGGGAAATGTACACAACAGAATTCTACTGCACATCAGAGCAGAAAAGGCCCTTAAAGATCCTGGAGTTCAGATCTTCCAACCTTCATTTTTCAGAAGAGGAAGCTAATATTCGGAAACTAAAGAGATTTTGTCAAATCTCCAGGCTAGTCTCTGGGGTAGCCAAGGTTAGAGCCAATGGCTCATGGCCACCAGAACCATTGGAACTCTTCAGGCGACTTTGGTGGTATAATTATTTAGTGCACATTGAAGCCATTTTAAGGGAACTTTTACCCTTTTTAGTCCTCTGACATTTCTGACTTTCCTATAATGAGGATATTACATTTCTAAGCAGGTATTATAAAAAAGGTAAAATGAATTCGAAATATCCTTAAGCACATTAAAAACACACATTTGTATGTAGTTAATAATGCAGACCTAAAAAAATGTTTAATCTCTTCATTAAAGTGGTTCCCATAAGGGAATTCAATTAAGCAAATTTCCATCATGTTAGTTACTAAAACTTGGTATTGTTGGCTACAGATGAGCTTTGTTGGCCTTAAAATATTTACTCTTCTTATCTCTTAAGTCCTATTTATCCAGTTCTCACTTTTTATGTTGTATGCATTCTCTCTTCATAAACCTTATTCAGAAACAACAGAAGCTTGTTCCTCATGAGCAAATCAGACTTATCCTTATCCAAAGCACTTCAAAGTAAACAGCCCTCTTCTGTTAATTACAGGCGGCCAATGGACTGGAGAAGTAGTGGGGCTTGCAAACTCCTTGTTCTTAATTCAAATTCTGCATCTGATACTAGAAATGCTATAAACAGGTCAAGTTCCTTCTCTCTCTGTGTCCCTTTCCTTACATATAATGAGACTGAGATCAAGTATCTGCTGGAAATTTCAAGAGATATACTTTAAAAGTCCTTAGTGCTATCTTTGGCACACTTCTTATTGCTGCTGAAACTGTTATATACCCTTGAGTTGTTACTGCTCCTGGATGGAAGAGGCCCATTTGGCATCTTGTTTTGGTAGAAGAAAAGGGTATTAAGAACAAAGTATAGCTTTTCAAAGTCAAAGACATTGTGGATTTCTGTTTTGTTTTTAATCTATAAGGGTTGGCCATGTCAAAAGAGACAGTCTCCATGACTCTTCTGCATCTTTCCAGAAGCCCTGGTACCTATCATCTTCTCTGTCTATGGCATCTCCCGTTGAAGGAGATACACTCAGATGCAGGGCATAGGCATAAGGGTGATCTGCAGCCTTAAGGATGACAATGAATATATACAGTCTCTTTGCTCAGCCTAGCATTCTGGCTCCCATACTCCCTCCCTGTCATCCTCTTATGATTCCATTTTCACTTGCTCCCAGCTCAGTCATCACTTATCATCACAGGCCAGGGATGCTGCATGCTGTTCACTTTCCTATTTACGCTTTATGTCCCTGTTGCTTGGAAAGACAACTCCCTGGTCTCTCAGAGAACTGATCATGGCATGCTTTTCTCTTATGACTGCAACGGGCCACTATGCCTCTGTAACCTATCCCAGAATCAGGTACAGAAGGATAGGACAGGAATGGTATTACGGAGGGCCAGATTGTTTCATAGTGCAATGGAATATAGCTGACACATGTCATTGTAAGCTTCTTTGTTCTGCAATGTTGCCTGAGCCATCAAGGGAGGGAGAGTAACATAGATGTCCCATTTATGAATGAGCCCCTCCACAGATACTTGAAGAGGATCATTTGAGATGTTTTTGCAGACTCTAGGAAGCTTGTTACTCTAGGGATGTTACATAAAAGGTGTATGTATGTGTGTATGGATGCATGTGAGTATCTGTTTATATGTATGTGTAGGAGTATGCACATGTAGAAGCTAGAAGAGGGTGTTAGATGTTCTCCTCTATCACCTATTACTAGGATGCAGGGTCTCTTCCTTATCATGAGCCTCATGTATGCTGGAAGCCCGCAAGTCCCAGTCTCTGCTCCTTTGGAGGTGGTGTTACAGATATGAATGGGATGTGTGGCTTGTTGTATTGGTACTGTGATCTGGACTATAGTCTTCATGATTGCGCAGTAAAGGCTCTTAATCCCTGAGTCATTTCAACAGACCCTGAATGTCTGCCTTAATCCCACTCCTTGAGAAAAACATAGCCTGGGTAATGGAAAGATGAGACCAGAGGAAAAGAAATGAGAGGCCAAGAGAGAGTTTAAGAAGAAAAGAAACATAAATGGGAATGTGATTATTTAAAAGAAATGAGATAATTACAGCAGCTTTGAATATAACAAATGCCATTGAGGATTACATTTCAAAGCACTGTTCCTTTTGCAAATTACTTTACCTCTCTCTGCTTTGGTCTTCCCATCTGTAAAGTGAGAAGGCAGAATTTACAGACTCCCCCAAACACCCTTGAAAACATGGTCAAATTCTGGTCCTCTTTCACAATCTGGTTTTGACTCTTAAAGTCAGTATCTGTCCTGTCAATGGATGATTTGGGATAACTAGGGTTTTGGGGGGAATACAGGCTGGAGGTGGTCCACTGAGAAACATGGCTGGCATGAAATAAAAAGAAAGTACCATTAAGAACTCTGTACAAGGAATTTTTTTTTTTTTTTAGATGTTGCTCAGTCAAGTGGCTGTTGCACTTGGGGAAGCTCCCTTACTTCACTGGGATTCCATTTTTCTATCAATACAGTGTAACATCCTGTGGACAGTTCATCAGTTTTGAACAGGTACCTTTACTAGCTGTTCTTTCTTTACAATGTCAACAAAATTCCAGCCTTGTTCATTTCAAAGGCACTGAAGACCAAGATTTAAATCTGCTTTTCAGGTGCTGCTTCTCCACTGTCATTCATCAGCAGTCCTGTGAGGAAATTTTAACTACAGGTTGAAAGATTCCACTTGCATGACTTAATAAGGCCTAACTGACATTGGCTCTGTCATTGTGGTAGACCCATGTCCAGTGATCTGGGCTTCTGAGAAGACATCAACCACTGGGTCACACAAAGTCCCCTTCCCCATGGCTCAGCCAAGGCAACCTCTCATCACGGGCTTCATTGCCTATTTTCTATCCTCATCCACTTTTGAATGAACAATACAAATGATTATCAGCATATTAATGTCAAGGAGGGAAAAGAAGTTTCCCTCAAAGTTGTAGTTGGTTGAGGATGCAGACAAAATGAGGAGGGGGGAATATCTGACCAATAGTCTGGAAAGGATGCAGAGTAAACAAACTGACCACTAGGGAGGAGTTGAGTTTAATTAACATATACAAGACATCAAACAGGTGCACAGAACTGTGGTTACTGCCTCCAAAATTACCTCCTTGACTCTTGTCTTGCTTCCTCCATGTTTCCCACATAATCTGGAAGGGATGGAGAGCCAGAAGACTCACCTTGGAAAGGTAGAAGAGCACTGACCTGAGAGCCAAGGTGCTCTGAGCCTGAATCTTTATCTCTTACATGTCTAGATCGACCACTCCATTTCTTTTACGGTTTTCCTTTCTTTCCTTCTTTCTTTTTTTCCCTTTTCTGTGGTGATATTTTGTTTGTGCTTTAATAAATAAAGCTTGCCTGGAGATCAGTGTGGGGAGCTAGTCACTAGTTAACCATAGAGACCAGGCAGTGGTAGCATACACCTTTGATCCCAGCTCTTGGGATCTCATGCATTTGATCCCAGCACTTGGGAGGCACACACTGCCTTTAATTCCAGCACTAGGGAGGTGGAGACAGGAAGTGATATGGCTGGGCAGAAATGAATACAAGGCTGGAAGATACATTAGCTCAGCCCTTTTCAGGCTGAGGAGTTGGCGAGGTAAGTGGTGACTGTGGCTTGCTCCTCTGTCTCTCTGATCTTTTGGCATTTATCTTGATATCTGGCTCCAGGTTTTCATTATTAAGATCAATTATGATTCATACTACACTTTTCTTTTCCTTCTTTTAAAACAACCATTTAGGTCCAAACATTCAACTACTCAAGGAGCTTAAAAGTGACTTTATTGTGATGCTGTGAAGAAGAACAGGCATCCATTGTCTACCACTTACTATAGAAGGTGAGGGCCCTGGGGGTGACCTCTCCAAATCCTATAGTTATGTTTTGATCAACAACTTTTGTAGTAATTGGTACAAGATATGAATTTGTGCCATCCTTGGACCAGGACCATGCTAATCTTCTCTATATTGTTTCAATTTTAGTATAGATTCTGCTGAAACCGGTAGAGAGATTTATTTCTTTTATGTATATATTTGTTTGTCAGTGTGGATGTACATTACCAGAAGTATCTTCAGATATCACAAGAGGATATTGAAACTGCTGGAGCTAGAATTACAGGCAGCTGTGAGTCTCCTGAACTGGATTCTGGGAACCAAACTTAGGTAGTTGATGTATACTCTCTTGACTGCTGAGCCATCCCTCTAGCACCAAATTGGTACACTTCCAGGACTCTGTTTCCCCATCAGAAAATGAGCATACTAAACCAAATTTCTTTATTACAGGCACTGTAGACAATACAAAAAGCAATAATTATACTTCTGGCTACATAGACATCCCTTGGTTATTGAAAATGATGTCATTACTCCTGCTGCTAGCATGGACAGCATTGTTGGTGCTGTGGTCCAGGTGGAGCTACTGAATTCCCTCCTTGGTTTCATGACTTTTCATCTCTATGGTTATAGCTCTCTTCTTAAAGTTATTGCTATGGTGCATGTTTTTCTTTCTCCCCCTCACATGGATCTTGTCTCATCTCTGTCTCAAAGTTAAGACTTTACTTCTTCAGTATGGTGTGGTTGTGGTTCTTTTTACAGGTTGTATGCACCTGGTATGGGGAAGATGAGGACTTAGAGATGAATCCACTTAATTTTCTGCCTTCAAGAACTGGGTGGAACATACATCACCAGTACAAGGTGTGGCTGGTCTGAGTTGAAAGTAAAGTGTGCTCAAAGAGTCATTGAACCAAAGAAAGGAGCCCAGAGCTCTCTCTCAAGGTCAGGGAGTGCTTTCTACAAGAATAGGACTATGGTAGTGATGGAGGATGAAAAGACACACATAAAGGTCATTATTAACTTCTGAGTAGTGTTGGAAGTCCTACATGTTTGTTGCTAGTTCATGACACCTTCAAATAACCCTATAAGGTAGGTTCTAATGTTCACTGTCTTATATAAAACAATATTGAGTATAGAATAAGTTGAGTAGCTACCTTGCTAGAGGCCAACATGTTGCAATACTCAAGGAGGCACCATTAGATTCCAGCAAGCCTGGCTTCAGAGCCTGTTTTGTAATCTCAGTTCATCCTTCCTCCCTTCCCATAGGAATCATGGTATTTCCAGACCAAGGGGAACAGGGCAAAGGCAGGTCACAGAATAGATACTAACAGGGTCACTTTGCTTTCTTAAATCAGTGGGAAGCAATGTGCAAGACGCTATGTGTACTGAGGCATCTTGGCTTGCTTTTGGTAATACAGGGAACCAGAGCTTGGGAATTTGTCTCTTCAAAAACAGTCACTTTCAAGTGCTGAGTCTAGGAAAAGTGAGCAGAGAAAGGCAGTTTCACAAAGACAGTCACAGGTATCGGAGTGGAATTTGAACTCCATGGCTTTGTGATATTGTAAAATTACCTGTCTCTGACCCAATTCAGATCCTTAATTTCCAAGTTAATCATCCCTGCCCTATTCATTCACCAACATGAAGAATAGTCAATCAATGCATCATAAATATTGCCTGCAATAGTTATGATGATTATGAGAGACACTGATTATACAAAAGGAAAGAGCTTAGTCATGTCTCAACTTGATGTGTCATGCTTTGTTGACACCCATGGGATGGCTGCCCCTTTCTGAACAGAAACAGAGGAGGAATGAATGGGGGTGCATAAAGGAGGTAGGGTGGAGAATGGAAGGAGAGGAGGGAGGGGAACCTGCAGTTGGAATGTGAAACAAATGAAAAAAAATTAGTTAACAAAACAAAAACAAAACAGAAAAATCAACAAACAAAAGAACGAATGTCCCTTCCTGACCATGGATTTAAGCTTGATCCCCTTCATTATAACTTGAAAAAGAGGTTATAGGACTCTTATTGAGATCACCATGCCTCCTCACTTTTAACTTGAAGAAACGTATTATGGCAAGAGCTAATGCTGCCCAGCGTTTACAGAAGAGGTATGAAATGGAATCCCTTGGGTACTTAATTTGAACCCAGTTTCCATAGTGAGAACAAACATGGTTAGGATTTCAAGGCCAATCCACATGGCTATAGAACCAGAACATGTCCTCACAATATAAAAGATGAAAGGGCTTAACATCACCTTGAGTCTCACGCAAATGAACTTGATGACCTGACTTGCTCATTCCCTGTACTTTTACAGGATCTTAAAGGCTGCAAATGAGGCAATGTGATCATCAAAGACATGAGACCCCTGGGCAGCTTTCTTGCAAACTGCTTGTTGTCCTCCCTCAAGCGACTTCACCCCTCTGAGAGTCATCATTCTCCTCTAAAAGATGGTAAACATAAGCTCTGTCCTCTCCTATCCATGAGATTGCTGTGGGGATAAAATATATACTAAGGCTAGTCAGACCATATGAGGATTAATAATGCAGTTGTTGCCTACATGAACAAAACCTGAAAGAGCAAAGTGAAATACACAAAATAAATTAAGTTAAGGATAATTATTCATTTTGCAAAAGGTTTATTCACTCAAGGGTGGGGGAGAGAGAGAGAGAGAGAGAGAAAGAGAGAGAGAGAGAGAGAAGAGAAGAGAAAAGGAGAACAACAGACAGACTTATTGATGTATTTCCCCCAAAAGTATGAGTTATCATAGGGACTGTAAAATCAAATTGCATTTATACAACCAAAACTAAAAGACTACTGAGTTTTAAGAGAATATTTTGGATGCAAAGGATCATCCCTACATATCAAGCCCACGCTATGAGAGTCCTCAGACCTAAAGTGATTTGAGAAGAATGATACTCAAGGGGATCTAAGTAGAACAGGACCTCTGCCATTGTCTAGCTATCACATGGGGACATGGAGGAGCTACAGGCAGCTATGCTATGTCTGTACTCTAGTGCAGGAGAATCTCCAACTGACCTCCAACTCTATTGGAGGCAGATGGACAGAGCATAGCTGACTTCCCAAAGACACCAGAGAACTGTCACAGCCAGTCCTCTCCATCTGGAATATTGTGTTATTTGACATAATATGTGCACTCTGCTGAACTCAATTAATTCTTACATTGTTAATCTCAGTGCTGACTTTATCAGTGTTTGACCCAGTGCTCTCCCTTTCTTTCTTGTGAAAACTCTGCTCCCCGACTCTCCTTTCAGCTTTCATTCTCTCAGTTTCATAACTGCCTCAGTTTCCCCTCTGGTATACACTTCCCTGTCACTGTCTTCCTATTTGCGTATCTATATATTCTGCATTGTCTATTTTCCTCTATGACTGTCTTTCATAGCCCCTTTCAGTGAGAGAAACTTGAGGCTAGAGTCAGAGAAGCTCATAGTAAACATTCAGAGCTACCTTACTTTGCTTATCTACTAATACATTATGAAAAGTAGTCTACTTTGGGGGATGAAGTAAAGATTAAATAATACACTGCATTTAAAGCTGCCTTTAATGAAAAAACACAGCCACATCATGTTAATCCCATACCTTCTTTCCGACATATCTTGACCTTCCTCCCTCTCTCCTTCCCTCCCTTCCTCCCTCCCTCCCTTCCTCCATTCTCAGTGCCTCAACCTTCACCTCCTCTTCCTTTCTACCTATCCCACACTCTTTGTATCCCCCACCCCCCACAAACCATGAACACAGTTTCTAACCCATTCCATTCCTTCAATAATCTAATTGTGAAATGCTACAGTTCATGTTACTGAAGTACACACTCTTCAACAAAATATTGTATGGTACATTTCCTTGTATATGATGGACAACCATGAATAATTAAAATTAAGCAGTGTGTGTCCAAGTGCCCCACACTCAACTTCACTAGAATCTGGTTTTCCTGTTCTACCCATTTATGGACAATGAGAGGTTGCCTCAGGCTGTTCATACTGCACAGAGCAAAACCACCTGGGCTGCCTGACTGGTCAGTTGTATCTTATATTACTGATTACTATGTTCTGAGGGAGACTCCCGGTATGGCCACATAAATTCACACCTTGTCCTGTCCTGTTTTAAACACAAACCCATTTAGTGAAGTGTTTTTTTTTTAAAGAGGAAATTCAACAACATAACTAATAGGCTGCTAAACACACATATACAACACACACACACACACACACACACACACACACACACACACACACACACACACTTCTTAATCACACTGTACCAAAGCAGCGTGCAGTGAAAGGAGAGGAAAGAGGATGGTGTGGAGCAATGGAATCAAATCCTGAGAAAAGGCTCATGCTATTGCTAAGTGCTGTGTTTTAAACAGCTTCCAGGAGATCCCTTATGCTCAGAAATCTGTCATTGTGTTTTCCACTCCATCATGATTAAGTCTTTTGTGAGTTCATCATTGCCAACTCTGGGGAGTCCTTTTTGCCCCTAATTTAATAACTTCTATTTGCTTACCATGGTACTCACCATAGAATGCATCAAGTTCCTTGCACTGATTATAATCATCGCAATAATACAGTAAAGGTGAACAGATTTTCCTTATTAAAAGAACAGGCAATTGAGGCCTAGGAATATTGATTTGCTTGAAAATGTACCTACAATCAATGGCAGTACCAAGATTTTGGTCCAATTCTGTCTGATTTCAATGCCCAGACTCTTCCTGTCTTGTCCCTACTGCCTCTCCAAAACCAAGCCAGGACACCATTAACCCATCTAGATTTTTCAGTATTCTCTTTTATGACCCCTCCTTGGTGACTGAATTCATTTTAGACTCAATGTTTGTGAAATAAAGACATTCCTGAAGCTTGGAGAAGACAACATGCCTCACATATTCTTCACTGAGAAGATTATTGGGAAGGAGTATTGTTGAACACATCCCTGCAAGACAAGTCCTCTAAAGCATTGACAGAAGCCAACACCACATTCCAGTGGCAGAAAAGACATGAAAAATGCCCGTGTTGATGCAAGTGCCTCATGGGCCCCACTGACCAACATCTTGCAATAACTTAGCCTACACTTGGCACAGATTCTCACGGAATAGCCTATGCCTTCTGAGACTAGCTTTATCCACTCCTTTCAATCTTTCCCCAAAATGGGCATGCTGTGCATCAGGT